GGCCCTTATCCCTATGAGCACCTTTGCCACAATAGAAAGGAATATAATGTCGAAAAGTGGCCACATAAAAATGACATACGGTTGCCGCGTAAGTTTGGATGGCGAAAAAATAGCGGGAATAAACGTCCAGCGATATGGAGATGAAAAAAATATGGCTTCAATATTTTAAAGGAGTAAAAATAAAAGCTAAAGACTGAGATATTTTAGTAAAAAAAAACGTATCTAATGTCAAAGATGTTGTTTATTCTGAATGTGATAACAAAGTACAGAACAACAGACCCTATTTTTTTGGTAGCTACGATGGTAAAATCGTTTTTCCCATCAGGCGGCAAATGCGAAATCGTAATAAAACTCTCCATATCATATGTAAAGTAGCCATAATATTGAAAACTTCCAAAGTCCATCAATAAATGTGGCGCTGCGTGGGGAACGTTACGCAGTCTTATGGTTGTTAGTGATGTGACACCTCGAACAACAATGTCGATGATTGATTACTGAACCATAACTGGCCTTAACTAATTTAACTAATTAAAGGACTAACAGTGTGTTGTGAGGCGTGTAGATAAATGATTTACCTCTTAAGTAAAGTGGCCACAAACATTTACTAATAATAATTTATTTTTAAGAATAGCTAAATCATTTATATGTACAATAGCAATTACGACTAAAATAGGATTAGATAGATGCATCGCAACATTTTACCACCTAGATCGTTTTATACATAGCAACAAATTGTTTACTTTTTAGAAAACTGTGGAAAACTGGATTAAAAGTTAGCACATATTTACTTTAAATAACCAGCGATAGGTATCGATGCCACATGTTACGGTACATCTCTAGACCGAGACGCGAGGCGTCAAAACGCACGACCGCAACTATCAAAGAGAAATCTTTTCCGTGTATCAATAACGTCGATCGAGCCGTCGACTAGACACATTGCGCTCTTTATGTCGCTGCGATGTCACATTATACTCCGCCATGTCATATACATGATACGTGGCAATATGTTTAAGATATTATCTAGCTATTGAATATGTATTTAGGTACCTATTTCATTTTTAAGTCCTTGAAAATATATAGATTAAGTTTCTCAAAATCTAAAGGCGATACCTTTAGATATAGTAAAATTCCAATATATCCAGGTATATGTGAACATTACTTAAATTTTGTCTTTTCCATAAACATCTCTGAAAACTCTAATTATTTTCATGTCGCAGTTCAATAAAAAAAACTTTAAGCTATGAACAAAGTAACAAATCTTAAAAGTTTTATTACTCATTTTTCTAGTCCAATTACGGCAGGTACATAAACTCTGTATTGGCATTTACACGACTGTTTAGTCGTGTAAATGCCAATACAATTTTAAAACGAACCACTTATTGGCAATTCTAAGTTATCAGTAGCTCAGTGTATCACACAACAAACACCCACGCATCTAAAATTATTCATAAAATCTCAACAATGGCGCATCGTCTCCGTGTGGTTAGGGCGTGAAATTATTTTCTTGGCGTATGCAGATTAGGGGAGGGTGACTGGTGGGGTTCACGGATTAGTTCCGGTTTACTTTTTATAGGATTCCGATGATAAATGTTACCATTGGATAGGCTAACGGGTGGTGCGTGTAACGTATCCAAATAAGCTTTTCAAATAGCTTATTATCGTACCATTCATGCAATCGACGATGTGGAAAAAAATAGCAAATAGTCCCTGGGATATGAGTAAAGCACTCATCGTGGATTTTTGAGTAACATGTACCAGTTTTTTTTCTTTTTAAACGTTTGTATCGTTATGTCTCACCTAAGCTGTAGTTATAACTAGGTACTAGATCGAAGAACTTAGAACGACTTAGAACATCATTTCAAGCTTCCTGGACAATCAACATTGCCTTCTGTTTATTGATATTGACTACTTACCTACTATTTAAGCCACGTTATTAGCTACGGTTTCTATTCTATGCGTTGGAAATTAAATAATGTAGACAGAAAACAATAAGAGTATGATCATTAATAGGTTAGAGTTAGAGCGTAGTAATGGGTACTACTACGTAGCTATGGCAGAAAAGATTAATACTTCATTATTGATTCCACCAATTGATTCCAAGAATTCTAAGTGTTCTGTTCTAATGTATCTAAGTAGAGTCAGCCAAGGTATTGTCTATACGTACATACAAATCTGATATACTACTATATAATATAAAGCTGAAGAGTTTGGGACCTACTGGGCCCATTTGATTAATTCTTTTTGTGTCGAATAGTCCATTTGTCAGGCTATAGGCTAATAAAACATCACACTACGATCAATAGAAGCCGGGCAGAGTGGGTGAAAGAGTAGAATAAGTAAGAGAATAAAAATTAAAGATTGATTCAGTATAGATCGTAGATCAAGCCTATCTTTTGTGACCATTGGTGTCGGCTCAACAACTAATAAATTAATGGGCACTGTGTTCTGTGGAACTGAATCAAACTTATTTTTAACGTGTACCTCTACCAAATAACTCGGCTGAGTGTAGGTACATCATTTTATCAAGTTACGATTGTTGACGTACGATACTAACATGTGTCGCCACCCTTCTATCACATCACACACGCTAACGGTTTAGGAGTCAGACAAAAAACGAGGAAAGTTGCCGAGCAGACGGGCGGATGGACGATTGCCGATCCCGAAATATGATTTATAGATCGGGCGTCATGGCCAATGCGCTTTCTATACGTCATGGGACATGTCACCGCCTCCACCGCGGGCAAAAGAAAATTGCCCATAGTTGCGATTCAGGATATTAATCTTAGATATTTTTGACTAAAAACATTTGCAGATATTGATGCAACATAGCGCATTCACTAAGGATTCCCATTCAATAATAGCCACCACTACCTAGGTACCTTTTCTTTTTGTTGACTCGGAAACAAGGGATTTCTGCATGGCAATCGCGTAATTGCGATAACGCGAGGATACGACCCCAAGGTCGTTTATTAAATAGTTTAAAGATACAGACCACTTAACCATTGGGTACCTACGTTTACGTATCGTTTATCTACCATCAATATAAAAGTTTCCTTAAACAAAAAAGCGTCTCCAGCTCCACGTCAAACTGCGTTACCAATATTTCTCAGCACGGACCGAACATTTGTATCAAATCGAACAATAATCGCTCATATTGTCAGTTACAATACAATTTGTTTGGAAACTTGACGCGTGAGAGAAATAATAACAAATGATTCGCGCCCTAACGCCGCCTGGCGTTGAAAGATCACGCCTATTGCTCTCTTGCTGATGAAAAAAGTATACAATATTACTCAGTAAGATACATTAAGTTTGGAAGTCGTTATGTAATAGATGCTTGCGCACTTATTCCATCCCATACTTTGGTACCTATGTAAGTTAATAGGTTTATACCTACTAACTTACATAGTATCTTATTATTAAGATACCCACGAAAAAAGTGGAGTTCTAATACATCCTAAACTGCAATTTTTGTAATGAATTAGTATGGCTCTACCTACCACTAATAAGTACCGGAATTGGGCCTCGATTAATTTCACTCACACGACGAAACTCAAAATTGTTTCACAACGGTTTTCTATGAGGCCGTGGTGTCACTCTAGTTGAACGGGCCAATTCGTGCCGAAGCATGGCACTCCCATACTTTATTCCATTTTAGGTCTAAAAATGTTTAAGTCATGACTGCCTTGTTGTGTTCAATTTCCGAATTGAGCAGTGTTCTGAATTTTTTCAGGAATCGTGGAGTGTAAAATAGGCAATTGCCTCGTATCCGATATGCTAAATGGCAATGTCTCCATGAATAGGAAAGGAATTTATTCTGTAATTATGTAGGTCTTTACATAAAAGCTACCTAAAGTTACTACTGAAAGTTAGAAAATCCTGTTACTAACGAGATTTTATTAAGTTTTATTACAAAGTTATGATTTTTAAGTTTCCACTAGAAGAGGAGAGCTACACTATTATAATCTTCATTTAAGTTCAGACAATGTCTTAAGCTTTTACCGATGGTTAATGAAGTTCTTACCCAGTTATTATTTACATGTTTATTGTTAAAATCAAAACAGAGCCACCTAGTTTCACCTACAGTATCAGCGAATATCAGTTTATCTTCTGAAAGAAAGTAGATAGCAGAAGAAATTCGTTGAAGAATGTAAAACCAGGGTTCACCGTGTTATCATCAAAACAACATAGATGCCGTAAGCATCGTAAGCGTGAGCAACTGAGGTGGTAATGTATTAGATTAATTGTGTAACACAAGAAATGAACTTTTAAATAGAAAAAAAATCTTTTTACTAATAAATTAGCTGAGTAACCGAAAGACTTAATGAGTTTGACCTCAACACAATCTTTCTTTTTCGTTTGTTTTTTAATGATAGCAATATTCTAAAACATAATTTTGCTCTATGGCAAGCTTCATAATATTGCCATTCTGGCAAACTTCCCAAACAATCATAAAAATAAACTACCATTAATAAAGATTAGTGGTAGTTTATTTGACTGTCTGTCACAGTGTCGTATGGTTTCATCAATAACAATAAAACATGTGTTAAACCTCAAATAAATAAATACAACATATTCTTACCTATAAATGAAACACATATCTTCAAAAATGTCATTCATTATTCATGTATTACAAACTATGTATTCCTGAAAGACTTGTATCTATGGTCAGGAATATAACAATTAAAAAAAATGGCTGTCATCATTTCGCTCAAATTCGCCATTCGCAGTCCGCTCGTTTGCTTTTTAGGTACCTACCTTGATTGATTGTTGCTTTTGACAGTCCATGTTTGACATTTGAGACGATAAATCAATAAAATGAGAATGTCAATAGAATAGAACTTGCCTTTACAGAAAACGTCAAGTGTCAACATAATAGTTAACAGAGGCAGCTTATTTTTCATTATTTTAATAGTATTTAGTACATTACGATTGAAGCACGGTTCCATTGCGACCCGTTGCTTTTTATCATCGACTGGTGTTTATAAACACCTCCCAAAATGAGATGGACGGTGCATATCGAGGGTGGACCGATGCGAGTAAATCATGCAGCGGTGTGCATAGGCGATAAAATCTATTCCTTCGGAGGATATTGTTCCACTGAAGAATATAAAGATTGGGAGCCAATACCAGTCCATGTTTTGGACACAAATACGATGAGGTGGGCACCAGTCAACTACAAGAGAACAGATGTCGCTCCTTTTCAAAGATACGGCCATACCACTGTCGCATATGGAGACAAGGTGAGTGAAAATAAACAAAAATCAGCTGATAGCCGTTGATTTGTATGACCTAATTACTTCGTGGTCTTTTTACTGTTTTAAATTTTGAATTTACTCTTTAAAACTGATTTTGTTTACTATTTTGGTTAAAGTCTCATGTTCGATTTGTAAAATATTCATAACTTTTTTTATTTTTAAAAACTAATTATGGCAATGCATTAAATGGTTATGTTCTATTCTCACCTACATCTAATAATTTTAGTATTCATTATATTTAATTATTGTTTTATGTAAACTGAAATATATGTCAGTAGAATAATATAATAATAGAGAAATAAACAAACTTATGCTTAGTTAATAGATTTGATAGAGATTTATTTATTTAGTTGTTAGATAAGGCCTTAATATCTGAAGAAAAAAATAAAATTCTATTACTACTACCTATCCAACAAAATTTAAATAAAATACACCTATCTAAATTTTTAAATGAATTCAAAATCTATTTCCATGTTCTATCAATTACCAACTAAAACAAATATCCTACCTATCTACCCATTTTTTTTTTAATATGTTAATTCAGCAAGAAACAATTATTATGGATACATACATTCCTATCTCTTACTTTCATAAGTAAGACAAACTCTAGTTTCACATACCAAAAATGGTATTCCATCAACTATACCTTAAAATTAATAGGCTTAAATTGATCTCAATTGATAGTAATTGTTCATGAGTAGACAGACAGACTGATGGCATGAGAGGGTCCTGCTCAAATCATTGTATCCTTGCATTTAATTTGGCATTACAGATTACTAGACGGCATAACATTAATTTTATTCATTCCACAACTGCACAATATGTTACTAAGGAAAAGCAGATAATTAAATTTTTTTCGGACTATCTCTTTTTTTTTATGAAAAGTATGTAGTTATCATTTCTTTTTTACTATATAAATAGATATATGTTTTTTGTATCTTGTTAATCAGCTTTCTCATAGTGCAGATAAGTACAGCATTTGCATTTAATTATGAACTTGGAAAAATTCTATTTATGTTCTGTATTTCTTTTTATAATACATAAATAACTTTAAAAAATCTGCCCCAACTAAATACCACATAAATGAAACCACAGGAGAAACTATAATAGGATGTAGGTATGTGAAGCAATTCTAGGATAGATAATTTTGTCTGAAATTTATTCTTGTGGGGAATATTATACAATTCATATAAATTAAATTATAAGCCCCAGTAAATTTAAATAAGACTCAGGTACCTATTCATACAATACATTTCCTATGTCTATTGTTTATAAAATATTTCCCTATGATAAATAAGATATATTTGTTTTTGAAGAATAGGAATACCAATGATATGTATTCATGTGATTATTATTTACGCTGTGTAAACATTAAGTGAGAATAAATTACCACATTCTTCCTAATACCAATATAGTACTTACATAACATTGCATAAATTACATAACAACAAGAAATTGACACCTGTTTTAACATTTGGTAAACAGAAGTAGAGCACTTAGTATTGTCATAAAACTTCATCTGATACTATTCTTAATTTGTGTACTTACTGTATGTTACTATGTAAATATTAATATTCAGCCATTCCAAATTTCATTAATTAGTTCATTTATTTGTTCAGAAAAAGATACCACAGAAGAAAATTATAATTCACATGTTTTTGTTCACATCATCATCACAATCACAAACTTAGTTTATTTAAACTGTCAAACACCAAGCGGTCACCGGTGACCGCGACCCATTGTTCTTTAATTGTGTCTATAAAACCGGTACTCGACGAGTTAAATGTATTATGCAACCTAGTAAGAGTTAAGTTATAAGAACACTAGGTACCTATTTTTCTCGATCCGTCATAAGTAATTATTCTTTAACCATAGTCTAAGTTAAAATCATTTAAAATAAATGATTTTTTATTAGACCAGGAAGGCACATTTTATTGTCAAAACAAAATATTGAAATATTTAAAAATTTCAGTCTGTCGGTCAGTCCTCTAGTGAAGCTATTTGCTTGTTCTAAAGTGTAGATTCCTATGGAGAAAAACTAGCAATAAACTCCATAGGTTACTCTTTTTCAATCAGGTTCACAATTTTTGGTTACATTAATAATAAAAATTAAATAAATAAATTTTTAAGGAGACATTATGATGACATATTGCCAATTAAGTATCAATTAAATTGTTGAACTTTTAATTGCGATTTTCTCAATATTCATGCTTTTTGTTCTAAAGGTGTTAAAATTTCTTTCTTATTTTACTCTGAAAAGTTCTGGGCTAATAATGAACTTTGCTGTTACAGGTATTCATGTGGGGAGGCAGAAATAATGCTGTGGCATGTGACACTCTCTCCTGTTTTGATACAAAAACATTAGAATGGACTACGCCAGCGGTCTCGGGCATGGTGCCTTATGCCAAAGATGGCCACTCAGCATGCGTCATCGGAAACAAAATGTACATTTTCGGGGGTTTTGAGTATCTTACAGATCAATATTCCCAAGAAGTGCACTGCCTAAATCTTGACACTCTACAATGGAGTTACATTGATGCTCGAGGGACAGCCCCATCTCACCGTGACTTCCACACGGCTGTCGCCGTGGACAAGAAAATGTACATATTCGGCGGGAGAGGGGATTTAAATAGCCCTTACAACTCACAAGAAGAAATATATTGCCCGCAAGTGTTCTATTTAGACACGGCTGAAGAGAAATGGGTCGCAATGAATCCGGGTGGAACTTGGCCTGAAGGAAGGCGTAGCCACTCATCTTGTGAGTATTTTTTATAAAATGAACCAAAGCATAATAATTTTATTTAAGTACATACATTACTAATGATAAAACATGTTTACAGGGCTTTACAAAGGCTACATGTATATTTTCGGTGGCTTCAACGGTAACTCGAAGACACACTTCAATGATCTCTATCGATATTCAATTAAAGAGAATATCTGGCAATTTATTAATGTAGGTGGCTCAGTGCCTTGCAAACGACGGCGACAAGCATGCCTAATTCATAAAGACATTGTGTATCTATTTGGTGGGACAAGGTCAGTATTCAGTTACTTCATGTATAAATTAACATTAGTTATTTTATTTCTGGTGTCACATAAACAATAACAGTTTAGTACCTATTTAATTATTATGTAATTACGTTTAATATTATGAACTTCATTATTTAAGTGGACGCGAATATGTCTACTACCGTATTGGAAGTTTTGAGTTCAAGGTTTATAGGATTCACTTAAAGCTATTTCCAATTTAAATACAAGGCTATAGTCTTGCGTACGCCAATACATACCCATTACAAAATAAGATGTAGGTAGTATGATATTAATATTATATTTATACTTTTCCAGTCCCTGTCCTGGTAATAGTAATCGTATCCCAGAGAATGTGGACAACAATCCAGAGAGATTGATAGACAACAGTGACCTGCATCTACTAGATTATCAACCTTCTCTTAAGACTTTATGCATCCTCAATGTACTACAACACAACCTCGACACTTCAATACTCCCACGTGATATTATGTAAGTTGTTACCATTTTAGATTTAAATAGGTGTATGCAGAGATCTAATGTGAGTTTACCTATGGAATGAATGGGACTGTAATCCTTCCTAATATTATAAATGCGAAAGTTGTGTTTGTTTGTTTATTACTCCTTCGCGTTTAAGTGGCTGAAAGGATTGGAATGTGAAACAGAGGTAGATTATGGTCTAGAATTATTAGTAGTCTGGAGAGTCTGGAGTTATTAATTAGTAAAAGATAACTGCTGAAAGCTTTATTGCTTTTTTTAACTTGTGGTAAAGAAAATGTTATTTAATATGATTAAGACTCATTAAAATATACCAGATATATAATTAATTATGATTCATTAATAATTATGACTGCTTCGTTGGCCGAGTGGTTGCAAGTACGACTGCCGGCAAGTGGTCTCGGGTTCGATTCTCGGGTCGGGCAAAGTATTACTGGGTTTTAAAACAAATCTCAATAGTAGCACCGAGTCTGGAATTGTTCCCGTATGGTAATAGGCTCACCCCCTATTACATAGGGCTCACATAAATAGTGAAAAGTGGGTGTTACATTATACAGTGGCATTATGTGCACCTCTGCCCACCCCTTCAGGGATAAAAGGCGTGATGTTGTTATTAATTATGATCAATTGAGTAACAATAATTTTGGTTTTTTTTTTTCAGTGTGGATATCCGCCTGATGACTCTGCCAAACCGCATCAGCAGGCCCATCAACCAATCTGGTTGAACATACTAAGTATTATTAGTAAATGCAGCTGAATATATTTGGAGCAGCTTCACATAATTATATATTAAAAATTGTTTAGTTATTAATTTATTATGGTATTACATGTATACCTATTTATATTATACTTTGTAAGTTATAGCAAAAAGAGAAATACTTTCTTAAATACATATTATTATATATTATTACAAATGACATGAAAATTGTTATGAATGGTGTAATGTTTTGATTGAAATAAATAAACAATATTACCAAAATGAAACAGTTACTAAAAATATAAAGTATGGTTTTATTCATCTTCCTTAACAATATGTCTTTGTCGTTCTGGCACGAATGGAATGGCGCCTGGTTTGCTGTGTGCCCGCCGGTTGCCTTCTTTCCTCTTGGCCTTCTGTTTGATAGTTCTAATTTCGTTCTGAGCATTCAAGATGTGTTTCGGTACATGTCTATGACGTGCTATACGTTTGACTTGTGGATGGTTGGCAAACTTCTCCTTTAATGAATCTGCATAGTTCAATGCTGTTCTTTCACGTGGTTTGAGCTGAAATACCATTTTCAAATTATAAATATGGTACAATCATCAAGTATGGAAAATGGTAATACCTAACTTACACTATTGTCGAAATACTAAAACGCCACTCTTTTTAAGTCACGCTTAAGTATAGTTCTGTCAATACAAATTCTTAATAAATTGACAGTAATGGTGTGATAATCAGTAGCCTTTTAGTATTTGGGCGTATAATTAGCTTTCTATTTTTACTATACTAACTTGGATCTCTATGCTCAATATTTTTGAAATACCCATACAAAGAATAAGATACTACAATTTCAATCGATAGGCAGAACGTTTTAGTACAGAGCTTAACTTACGATTGAAAACCAGTTTCCATTCTAGTTAAAACACCACAATAATAGTAATAGGTATTATTGTGGTGTTTCTTATCACATGATCAAAATATTGCAATGACACTTACCACACCAAGTTTTTCTGATGCTCTAGCTTTCCACATTCTAATGTTCATTTCATCTGAACCAGAAAGTATGTATTTGTTGTCTAAGGTCCATTTCACACATGTCAGTCTTTGCATTCTCTTTGTGTGGTAAACATCCCTCGAGTTTCCTTTGAGACTCTCAAATATCCTCACAGTTTTATCATAGCTTCCAGCTACAAACTCTCTTCCGGTCGGTGCATAATCCACATCTATTACAGCTGATGTGTGTCCCATATGAACATTAATTGGTTGTTTTAGTTTCCTTACATCAAAGGTGTATAAACTGAAAATAAATATGTATTTATAACTTAAGTTCTTTCATTATTCACAGTAATTACACTGTATTAAAAGCACAATTGTTATACATACTTGTAATCTTCATTTGCTACTGTAAATATGAAGGCTTCCATTGGATTCCAAGACAGGGCATTTGACCTTAGCTCCATAACAACCTTCCTCAATGGTCCAGATTCACGACAATCATACAAAATTACACTCCTATCACTCGCACATGATGCTAGCAAGTTTTGCTCCACCTGAAATCAAAGATACATGGGGTGTGAACCAAGTATAATGAATTTTAAACAAAATAGAAATCATGTTTGAATATTTTGTTTCAAAAAGTTACCTGATTGAAAGAGACATGATGTAAGCTGTCTACACCCCATTTGAATACCTTCACTGGCTCGTTTCTGGTATTCTCCCATAACTGACAGTGTTCACCACATGTAGCAAATATTGGCTTACTTCTATGATGAGTGACCCCCGTGACTACTGACATACTGAGCAAAGTGTTCACAGGTTCTTCATCAACAGAAGATTGAACTTCAGATTTCCATGTTTTAATAGTTTTGTCATCACCAACACTCGTAAATGTGTCTCCTTGGGGTGTGAAACATAGGGCACGCACCCAGCCTTCGTGAGCAACAAAATTCCTTGTACATTTTCTTACAGCTAAATCCCATAAACGAATCTCTCCATCAAAAGCTCCGCTAGCCAGAACTGCAAGTCTACTAGGATGTTTGGCAAGACTGGAGACACCGTCTCTATGTCCATCTAGGTTACCTATAAAGGGTTTAGCAAACACTCTCTCAAGTTTAACAGCATTCATTGCACGAACATATTCACGCGGTGCTTCCAGAGGATGCAAACTTGGATCATAGTTCCGAGGTACTGAAATGAGACAATTTTAATTAGATACTACGTAAACAAATGTTCATAAATTAAAACAGATATATATACAGTGCCGAAATAATATCAACAATATTCTTACGTTTGTGGATATCCCGCTTTGTAGCACGTAGATAGTCATCTGGATTACGACTTATAACTTTAATCTTCATTTTCGACATCTTAAATTATTTATGTTTAAACTAAAGTTAAATGTTTTGATACAAAATTTTACCACTGCAGAACAACTAATAACCTCAACAAAATACACATGTACTCTGACATACATTGACAGTGTTGACAGTGACACTAACAAAGTACCAACTGTTGAACTACAACGGCACTGACATGACCAAGATTCGGTCAAATATTTGGAAACATTAAAAAATCTATTAAAAGCATTAATCAAATTGATAATATAACAATAAAACGTTAAATAATAATTATACTCCTATGAACCAAGAAGCGAAAATTTTACTATCAGATGTTGCCATTCTTCTTCTTATAGTGCCTCTTCAATGTTGAAGGTCGGCCGTCAGCTTCTTGTATTTCTCCTTGTCGGTAGCCATGCGGAACAATATTGTTCGACAGATGTAATGCCGGTCCACTCCCGGATGTTTCACAGCCACGATTTTCTTCTGCGCCCAGCACGTCTCTTCCCCTCCACTTTGCCCATCATGATCAGTTGAATGTTGCCATAAAAAAAAACAACTACAGATATTTATGTCACTGTCACTTCTTCCAATTTTTGACACTTGACAGTATTGACACTTCCAATTTTTTTACCTTTCCACCTTGTACTTTTTTTTCACCTCCTTTTTTGACGTAAACGTAATTGAGGGAAAAAACGCAAAAGCTGAATTTAGTGTTTGTAAAGCTGTGTTCTACTGTGCGTTTAATCCGTAAGTATTTATATTCGTTTTGTTTTTAATTCTACATCAGAAGGAAACAAATAAAGATGTTTGTTTTCTAATTCCGTGTTTATTATTTCGACTTCTTAAATCTACAAATAATAATTAGAGCTACAAGTTTAAGCTGTTGTTATTTTATTACTGTTTCCACAAATATTTTTTTCATATTTATGAATAATACCTTATGAGATTCATCAATATCTCTGTAATAAAGGCTGCATAGATAAAAAGACATATGTAAAAAAATAATTACTACTGTATTAACTGTAATTTTGTTCAGTGGGTCGTCTTATGGGCGCATTTATTGTAGTTGAATTATCGGATTGGTATATTGATAATTAATTAGCAAAGTACCAAAGTATAAATTTTAATTATTACCTATAGAACATTTAAATATTTTTATTTGTTGTCAAGAACTTATTTTCATTTAATTCTGCACCGAAACCTTATTAAACTGTCAAACACCAAGCGGTCACCGGTGACCGTGACCTATTGTTCTTTAATTGTGTCTATAAAACCGGTACTCGACGAGTTAATAATGAAATATAAAACAGTAAGTACCTACCTGCACAGCAAATAATTATTAAGATTTAGCAGTCAGCTAAGTAATTAAATACAAATAATTCAATAAATTATGTAAAAATCTTCTTTATTTTATCATGAATAAAATCTAAAACTTTAATTTTACTTTTAATGTGCACATCTGCCTACACCTTCGGGAATAAAGGTATGATATTATGTTATGTTCAAAGAAATATCCTACTTTTGTAATATTTTATACTGCTTGTGTAATGGCCACTGGCCACCCTTCCTTTGTAACTTCAAATCCCAGACCTATGTTCTTAATATCATTTAACTTAAAAATACCACTAATTAATAAAAAAACCAAATCAGTAAAATTGTTAAAAGCCCCCATTCACCCATAAAACTTGAAATAAAAAAAATAATATGTTTCTGAATATTTTATGTATAACATCTACAAAACTTTAATGTAAACAAATACGTAAACTGTTTTGTGTAAAGTGTCTGAATGAAATATTTTACTTTTATTTAAATTTTACCTTCAGTAACATTGGTGAGTAAAAAAATTGTGGATAAAAATAATAAAATACAAGTAAAGGACATCCTTTACTAGTACTTTATCATTTTTATATTTAGGTATGTACCTATACATACCCATTATGGTCATTATTTAAAACATTTATAAGTAACGATACAATATGATAATGGTAAGAAAATAATATGATGATATAATACTACAAATTTATTGTGATACTCGTCGCGATTTATTTACGCCAAAATTGTTTAATATAATACTCGTCGCGATTTATTTACGCCAAAATTGTTTAATATAGTCAAAACAATTGACGCTAATGTTCTTTTATTTCTGCCGCAAGTTGCAAGGATGAGTAATGTCGCTTGCTTTGTTAAACTGATATAATTATTATAGATAGATAGGTATAGTGTGTCGCGGACTTTTTTGTATATATTTATAAGATCTCCAATTAATTAGAACATTTTATGGTTCTATCTTTTATAGTTTAGGCAGCAATGCAGCAAACGCAAAATAAGTAAATTTTCTGGTTGATTTTTTACACCTTGTGTCCAAAAAAACCAAATATTTTGCGGAACCCTATTTTTTTCCAAAATAAAATTTAGCCTATGCTACTCGTGGATAATGTAGCTTTCGAATGGTGAAAGAATTTTTAAAAACGGTCCAGTAGTTTTTGAGCCAATTCATTATAACCAAACAAACAAAGTTTTCCTCTTTATACCTCTAATATTAGTGTGGATTATTATTATTCTTTTTCTACTGTCAGTCTGTGAAATATGTCAAACGTTTTTGATAAAGGTTTGACATAATTAGGCCTTGTTTCGTAAAACGTTTCAATCAATGTTTTCAATAGTTGATTTTCGCTCAACACCCAATAGACCTACGCCTATATTTCCCCAAACATGAAACAATCACCAACCCGTCGTGCCTCCAGCAGTTCGACTTGTCCTTGTTTTTTACCGTGAATTTGAAAAAGAAATCTCTCATCAAAAGTCTCACTTCAACCACCAGTTTGTTTGACAAGACAAGTGTTTACTAATGTATGACTAATGTCGTAACGACATATACGCACTCAAACACTGATGTCGTCATTTTCAAAAAATTAGGACGGAATAAGTAAACACTCTATGCAAGGACGATGAAAAAAATGCGGACATAATGTCATTTAGATATTAATGATTGAATCAACAAATTTTCAGTGGATTATTATGTGCGTGTGGGTTACGATTTAAGAAAATGACTATGCCCTTCATTAGTTTTGTTTGTTAAAAGAGTGCAACTTGTTAGCACCAATTGCCTTGTTTGCTTGTCTATAATAGTTACAGGTTTTATTTCATCTAGCCTTTTTATTACTACTACTACTACTATTATTTTTTTATTACTACCTTACATGGACGTTAAAAGTCTTTGCAACTCTACTCAAACCTATAAAATTAACGTTTAATTATCCTTTTTTAAATTGCTTCACTAGTCTACAATTTCTTCGGTAAATATTTCGTCAATGGTTCGGGATTTATCTTCATTTCTTGTTGGTACCTGTCTAATTTTAATTGTTGTTGTGAAAAGTTTTTCGCACCTGCATAGTGTGGATATTCTTTCAACGTACCTAAAAAACGAAAAGTGGACAGGTGGTTTTTTACCGATTGGACTGCCTCGTTGGCCGAGTGGTCGCAAGTGCGACTGCCGGGCAAGGGGTCTCGGGTTCGATTCCCGGGTCGGGCAAAGTATTACTGGGTTTTAAAAAAAAAAATTCAGTAGTAGCACGGAGTCTGGAATTGTGCCCGGTGTATGGCAATAGGCTCACCCCCTATTACATGGGACTCATAACATAAATAGTGAAAAGTGGGTGTTACTTTATACAGTGGTATAATGTGTACCTCTGCCTACCCCTTCGGGGATAAAAGGCGTGATGTTATGTTATGTTATGTTATGGACTAAAAACCATTATCTACTCTTTTGCACTGTCTGATAAACAATCAAAAGTGGTAACTTAAAAGAGTCTTTTTCTCTTTCAATGTCGTCAGCAATTTTATTAAAGCTTTCCTCTCGGTTTATAAAGAAAAACCTTCAATGCCTTACAAAACATTCATAGAAGCGTTATCCCTCTTAAAACTACTTGCCGTTGTAATATTTGGTGTGTACCTTGCTCCACAGTTTTGATTATGTGCTTTTTTACCAATCTTGAGATGACGTAAAATAAATATTTTTGAAAAGCCCATTAGAAATTCTTAAAAGTGGCACATTCAAACAAACTGTTCGGCTCTATTTACTTTACTTACGTAATTATCTTTTTAGCGTTTACCTAAGCTTAAAGTGTTCAACTCAAAGCTCTACACTAGAGTAGTACAAAATGTCGTTAGTACTTTCTCGTTCTTGCAGGAAGTGAGCAATATCTCTAAGACTTTAAACTTTACTACTTTACTACATTTTACCGTCGACTGTACAGGAATTTCATAATGCTGCTAACCTTCTATATTACTTTTTTTAAACTGTGCCCTACTAAGATGAATTTATGCGATAAATATGAACATGAATTTGAATGAAACAAAAAACTTCATGGTGGCCGGTTGTAAATCAATGAAAAATCATTAAGCGTTACCCTAATGTATATAGCACATATTAATAAAGGACGTCATCTCGTCACAGTAGCAGTTAGATAAGGTCACCGGCTCGCTAGCTCGAGTTGTTCAATGGCAGTATTTTGTTCGTTGACCCGCGAGCGGCTGCGTTGGCGCACGCGCGAATGCGAACCGCGTTTGTTCTACATCCAAATTTTCAAATTGATCTCTTTTCGGTGCTATAGTGCATAAATAAATATTAGGTAACTGATTTATTTTAGTGCGGTCTTTAGTTTATTTTCAAATATAATCGGCTTTTTCCTGGTACATAGTCGGTAAGTACTAAATATTATTAAACACGTTTACAGTGATACTCAGATCGACTAAACAGTTTTGAACTTTAATAACTTCTAATCCTGGTAGGTCATAACTAGGCTAGTTCTAGAACAAAGATTCGGAACAGAATTTCTGTAACATTTTCTACATGCCTTACCAACTTAATCACACAATCGTTCATTTATGTAGTAGTATTAGAATACTGTTATTGTATGTCTTTTCATTAAGAAAATAAGTGTTTTAAGCAAACTCTTATTCAACATTATTTACATAACTGCTTATAGTTTCCTAACCGACATTGTTACTCCTAACAACGTATATGCCCTATAATGTATATGCCCTATAAAGACTATTTTAAATATTTCCTGCATAAACATTCCTCAAGTCTCTAAATAATTTAGTCTGTAAATCCATAAAAAATATAAGTAAGAACGGATGCTTATCGCGATTCATTCTAGTTTCGATGATTGTCTTCACAGTCATGCTTCGAGAAAAATATTCAGAGCAGTAGAACATTATTCGATAGTATAAAACGAACATTTGTTATCATTATTATACCTACCGATAATAAAGCGGTCGGTCGCCGGACGGCATCCGTACGCGCTAAAAATCACGTCCACCACACCAGACTCCCCCTCATGCTATTCTAAAAAGAATAATAGGACATGGGTGCGTTGCAACTCCCAAGATTTTTATCAAAGCATCTTGTGTTTGTGTGTGTAGGTAGGTTAGTATATAATACAATCTTTTAATTTTTATCCGAGACTTTGTCACGCGAGTCATGCATTTGGCTCTCAGGGTCCCCAGCCGCAAAAAAGGTTTTGTTTCATAAAATTTTGTTTGTGCAATAAATTTTTGGGTCGGATATACTTAATCTCACTGTCTGAATAAATAAGTGGATGCCACCAACAGTTCATTCCTACTTATTTAAGCTGTTTATGAGCGGTCGCCGGCCAATCACATGAATTAGTAATATCGCAGTCATTGGCCGACTGAACAATATAAATCAATGTGAAATGTTGAGCGCATTGTTGGCCTCTTACGTAATTTTAATAGACTTTAGATATGAAAGAATTCTGCTTCACAGTTGTTAATTGCCTGTATGGCTTTAATTAATTAAAATGAAATGTTATGTGGTTCCTTTCATTTAATCATGTTCAAAAAAAGGTACCGGTTCAAATATTCTTTTGTTGTAAAATTCCCAAGAATTTACTTAACACCAAAATCTTTTAAGTATTATTTAAAAAGGATCGAAATGAACCGTTATCGGTCGTTACACTCAAATTAAATGTTTAAAAAATTACATTCTAAAACGATTTGTATCGTTGGGGATTACTTCAGACACTAGTAGATAACTAAAAAGTTTTTTCCGTATATTTCAAACGACAGATTTGACCAAAACAGTTGCTAACCTAACCATTAAAACTGTACGGCAACATGTTGCTTTGTTTATCCTTAAAATTAACCTTAAAAGGTTATCTCAATACCTTTTGGGGGTTTCTATATTAATGTTCCAAAAGGAAATAAAGACAAAGATTTACGTAATGTAGTATCTATGTATAATATATGCATTTTGAAGAAAGATTACAGACACCGTATCGTAAAACCGTTATCATAAAGCTTCCAAGTTTAATTTTACTGTATCTTGTAGGTATCAAACTTATTAATTTGATTTATGCTGATTAATAAATCGTTTACTAAAATAAAAAATTAAATTGCAATCAGAACCTAATAGTGACATCGATATTAAATTTATTACCTTCCAAAAAAAGGTAGACAACAGGTTTTTAGCAGATCTTTCGTCTCTATAGATTCGAAAACATTGTTCCGCATTTACCTAGCGGCATTGTAATAAAATAACAACAACTCCTTTTTAAATTAAATGACAAAATCTCTGGATTAACACAACAGCTCTGTTTTGATTAGATAGAGACAGTAACAACAAACCATTTTTCTTGGAAGTGAAGAAATATAATATCACTAATCGCGAAACAAAACCACAGACCACTGAATATTTAGAAGTTACGAAGAAATACTACGACTGTCATTTCACAGAAATTTATTTAATGTTCTCTTTTTGTTTCTAGGTTTGCAGCCAATATGGTTCCTAATTTGAACCTGCTGCACGTAATATGTTTCGCACTGTTATTCGGTCTATGCGTGCGCACGCATGCCGAATTATTCACAGCAATAGCAGACGTGGAACATTTACTAGAGACACATAAAAGGATAATAGATGACCTAGATTTTTATATTGAAAAGGAAGAGAAAAGGCTGTCAACACTGAAGAGGTAATTAAGTTTTAATATACGTATACAACGAAAAAGATGACTGCGTTGTTATTAAATAACACTTACCTACATTAGTTGTATGAGTCTGAAGATGCATGCAAATTCATACTATTTATAAAACCTGGGATTCTTAACAAGTGACTGGGAATATGTGTGTGTACCTTACCTATTAATCTCTGCCTCAGAGATGCACATAGTTTGATCATTATTTTTGTGAGTTTTAACAACCAATGCAGAGCACGTGTTCCTTTAAATTAAAATTCTGTAGTCGTATTCGGATCAAACAGGACACAATGCCCTAAGTGCCCTCACGGCTTCAAATACCGTATATTTATTTTTACAGGCATTTGAACCTCTACAGGAAGGAACATGAGAAGGCGATGGAAGACATTCCCAATTATTTGGGGAATCCAATCAACGCCTTTACTCTTATAAAAAGACTGACAACAGATCTTGATCATATCGAAGATAGTATTAAGATAGGAACAGGTAATCCTTGTTTGTTTTAATCTTTATTTATAATTATTTTTTTAATAACTAAGATTTTCCTTCACCATTATAAGTACCGTAAAAACGTAATTTATAAGGAAAACAGGCATCTAATTAATTTTATATTAATTATAACAGCTTTAGGCGAATATTTCACGAAGTTTAATCGTTTGTTTCAAACAATATTAACATAATAATATCTTTACTTTAGTTACTAATGAATCATTTTAACATATCTACCTAAGATTGCCTACTTCATCTATTCGTATTCCAAAGACGTTGATCAAGTAGGTCCATTAATTTGCGCCTACTTTTAAACTTTAACAGTAGGTACCTAAACAGGAATAGTGAATTTTCTAAATAAGGCTTGACTTGTAATAGATTGAGTCATATCTTCACGCAAATTTAAGTTCTTTTAGTTAGTTCTAATTTTGTTTTATTACGCGGAAATGAAAACCGAAACGAAATATTTTTACCATACCGATACGGATTAGATACGGCTTCATTGATTTATTCTACATACTTCCATCAATTCAATAAGAGAGTTGTTATCCCACTTCAATACTTTTATAACATTGCGCTAAGTTTAGAAAATTATCCTGTTAATTTGACGTCAAATTAAATCAGCAATTTTGTAATGTATGACAACACAAGACACAGGAAGTTAATTTACAAACACACACTTAAATCACATGGGAGGTACTTCTACTAATAAAACACCTACTAACATAAATCCAGGAAAATAATAATACACAATAATTGTTTAAATCAACGCCACACGGCCATAGCAAAAAGATAATAGACAATTTTAACGTGAATATGTTTTACTAAATGTAACAATAGCATTTTCCCACAAGAGTAGGGTAAATTGTAAAACATTCGCCATCATTAACATGATTAAGGTTGAATTAAATTCCAAAAAACTATAGAGTCTATCACAATAGCTGTTTCAATGTTTTTCCTGTGGCCTGTGATCTGACAAATATGAAACCTTAATGAGGTGTTTATAGTATTCCACTAACATTGTCAAGCTTATATTCATTTGTTTTGTAAGTAACAATAGGGATGATGACGGGGTATGAAAATAAAAATCTATTTAGTCCATCAGTTAGATAATAAAAAAGTATTAGACATGTATTCTTTTATTTTGTCGTATAAGAATACTATACTTAGATAAAATGAATCAAAGTTTAGGAGTGGGAGCTAATTACGACATTCTTACGTATGAAACGTAAGTAACGTTACACGATGTTTTCAAATCAATACATCGTAGAAAGTATTTGTTTCCGTAAGAAATTAAAATAATCTACCAGACGGATATTAAAATAATAATTAGTCATATACCTTGTTTGTAAGTTAAGACTTTTCAATGTTGATTGGTACAGTGGCTGAGAGATCGGGTGCAGAGCTATTTTACAGGTTCTATTTCTGCCCAAAAGAACTATAAACTCGACAAATAGTTATTTCGAATTTAGGTGTAATGTATAATATCTTTTCAAACTTTTTTTTTTATTTACCGTCAATATGACACAATTATCATTTATCTACTTCATCTTCAGACAATAGAGATCGGGTGCAGAGCTATGTTACAGGTTCTATTTCTGCCCGAAATAACTTAGATCCACAAATAGTTATTCCGATTCTAATAATGTATAAAATCTTTTCAAACATAATTATTTTTACTGTTCTGTCAATATGACAACAATTTTACATTTAACTTCACATTCCATAGACGATAAACTTGTCTAGTAGATATTTAAGTACAATAGACGCAACATGTCTACATAATAGATGTAAATTAGACACAAAACATCAGTATGATGGCCCGTTTACGTTTTTCAGTACTTGATTCTAACAAGACACAACGTCTTATTTCCTCGTAACAAGAAGGCTTATTGTCTGTAGATGTGAATGGAACTTTACCAAGCACGTGGCTAATCCGTCAGTCAGTATAACAAGCATTCTACATTATCACCATGTTTACATATTATTAGCTCAAATTTTGGCAATTTAAGTTGATAATACATTATAATATCCAGCAATTTAAGTACTAAGTATATATCTTAATAATAAAAAAGCTATTTCTGCTCACAGCGTTCCTAAGATTAGCTGAATAGGTTTATGGAACTTACATGAAATTCGTTCAGTAGTTTTGAGTTTGAATCCAATCCGGCAGGAAATAATTTTACAAAGAAATATAAACCTTCATTTCAGAGTACACAAAGAATATAACAATGAACCATACGGATGTGAAGTATCCGACTTTAGAAGATTTGGCTGGAGCTGCGCAAGCACTGACTAGACTTCAAGAGACTTATCATCTCGATGTGAAAGATCTGTCAGAAGGAAAACTAAATGGAGTTATTTACAGGTATTTATCGTATTGTCGTGTTCTTAGTTTATTTAAAAAGGGTCAAATTAGAAGCATCGTGAATTGGCGAGCATGCATAAAGAAATTGATGTAGGAATGTAGGTGAAACGAAAGAGGTGCGCTAGAATTGTGTCATTTAGCGTTCTATTATCTCTGTCTACCGCAATGGGAGACGGGACATGATATGCATGTAATCATTTACTATTATATCTAAATTATCGTACAAGCGGCTTAGTTTAGACCAATTATATATTATGATTATGTGTGCTTAAATAATGTTTCGTAAAGGCAGAAATATTAAAAATAGGAGAAGTGGGATTTTCTTGAATTCATGAATTCTTGTAATCTTGTTGGAAGACCGATGTGATACTACGCGTATTTACCCATTTTTATTATTTTACAGCGGAGTAGACAATTGCGTAACCAACGATTCATCTCCGACTCATCAAATATATAATAAAAAAACCAAAGATCGTCAAATAAATTTAAGGTTTCAATTATGAGATGTATCTAATGCCTTAGCTTCAAGCTACTTCGTCACTTTTCACGGTGATGGTATTTTACTAAAGTCTTTATAAATGCACCATTAGCTACGTACCTATGCATATGCATCATAGTAAAATTATGTAATATGCCTCAGTATTTCTGAAAGGATCTGAAGACGCCATATTGTGACGTCATGCACGCTTTTAAGCTAAACGCCACTCTGAAATATTTTTGCAACATTTTATGGGAAGTCGGGAACAATATGCACGTTTGAATTTTAATTGTTTTTGGAATATTCTTATTCATAAATAATTAAATAATGTGTTGTTAGTTTCACAATATATATTTTTTATTTACTTTATTATCAAGAAAGAAAGAAAGAAAACACTTTTTTCACACACTAAAACAGGTGACACACACAGATTTTACACATAAGTTTATAAATATCTACTAATATCCCAAGTGTGCGGTGAAATGGGACCAATGCAAGACAGGGCCTTGCGCTGGTATTCTACTGGCCCCTTAAGTGATTCGCGGACCTACAAGCCACTAATTGGTACTAAAACTTTCATAATTTTATCTATAACTTTTCGATTTCGTCAAGCACTAGGTCGTACCCTCCCCCGAGTCCCGGCAACACACAATGATAATAATTGTTAAAGTGCCAGTATTTTATGCGAAAAAAGTACGATGAACTTCAAAGAATAAGGTTTTATTTAAATGACTCAGTTATCGATGGCGCCTGTGTGCAACAAGCTCGTAGTATTGTTTTAACCAGAACTGTGTGTGCACTATTAGTGTTATGGAGTGGTAATTATGGCTTCAACGGTTTTCCATACAATTTGTTATAACTAAGGGACACACTGTTTTTGAAATTCAGTTACTTTTCTTTTGAGACTTTAGCAAAACAGTCCAAGTTTATACCTTTTTCCATCTAATTTAGTATCTTCTCACACTAGCGCTTTCAGTTTTACCTTGATTCGTGCTAAAAACTGATTCACCATTGGTCAACGGCCTTGAGTTAAGGTATATGTCACCGTTAAACACAAGGTAACGTTTAAATACAAGTGCAAATAAGTCCAAAAGTATGCCTAGCACTTATAACAAAATCAAACTATACATTATTATATTTGTACCGTGATTATGAACTAGGTAAATAACATTTTGCACATTACGGGTCAATCGGCACAGATTAGATAGCAAATGAAGTATCCATACTTCCTTCCCGATATAAAAATACATAGTTTATGATGTATTGTAGTTATTGCTTCAAGACAATATCTACATTATTGTATGTTAATTACCTTCTTATCTTTTAATAAACTGTGTCATTTGCTAAGTATCTGTCTATCATCATGTTTTTTTGGTTACTATATTTTTAATAAAATGAGCTGTTTTACCAATACAAGCGAAAGTGATTACTTCATTTTTTACTTGTGTGACACAAAATTAGGAATGTTGCATCAACTCGTCACTGTTTACAGACCTTAAAATTGTAGTATGTAGATAACAAATTATAGTGTACTTAGGATCTAATAGTGTTAAATGGTATTTTCCAAAAAACTGTTTCCAAAGTATAAGTTGAATTCGTAATTTGTCGGTTGTTTTTGTTTGTTCCTTGTACAGGTTGTACTCTATCTCAGAAAACAGTTACTCTATTTTTGTCCAGAAACTAGTGCTTCTTTAACCCCAGCGCTACCTATTGTAATCGGTTCATCCTTACACGATATACTCACATACCTACTTTTTAGCTTAGTATCATGCATCTTGTCCTATGGTCATTATAATATCTTGTTTACAGTCCTATGTTTCCTAGATGGGGCAGAGGGCGTCCACTAATTACAGAGGTCTTCTATCGCAATCGGTCTTGATGCTTGATTATATCAAATAGGTATCAAATAATTTTAATTTTATTTGTATTCCAGTACTCCTATGAGTGCAGGCGACTGTTACGAGTTGGGGCGTGCGCTGTACAACGAAAAAGACTATAAAAACGCACGCGCTTGGATGCACGAAGCGCTACGAAAGTACAAAGAGGAAAACATTACCTACTCCTTCAAAGAATCTGATATATTAGAATACATCGGCTTCTCTTATTACTTACTTGGTTAGTATAGTTTATTTATTGTGTACTTTATTTCATTTCAATGCATGCACACAACATGTGTGACTTAGTGGGGCGTCGTATAAAAATTTGTCGGGGTCAGATCTTAACCAATGAAGGGTAAAGATTTCTGAAGAAAGGAAAAAAATGCATAAAATTAATAAAAGAAAGATTGTCATCGGCACTTTGCCTATTTTAAAAAAAATATAAATAGGTTTACAAATGACTTTAAAGACACTAAATTTTCAAAAGTTTCCGCCAAAGTTTCTCCTCTTTCCCCTTCGAGGAACTAAAGGGTCATGGCGTATCGGCAATGTTATGTAACGTTGAAACATTGTGCCATAATGTCATTACTATTACAGGTGACACACGAAACGCTTTGGAGTGGACTCACAAGCTGTTGGCAGTTGACCCGGCACACCCTCGGGCTAAAGGCAATATACCACACTACCAGAAGAGCATTGCTGAAGAAGAACTTAGACTTAGGAAGGAACGGCGTGGGGTATGTTTGACTGCGGTTTTCTTGATTCACATTTTTGTTAAACATTTTTTCTTTCACCTGACCGTCATCCAAACATTTTATTCAGTTAATAAAACGGGCCTTAGGTTGTCTTTATGAAATTTACCATCGTGCATGATATTGAAACGTCACCTTCGTTCCTATTTCAACCATTATTTAAAAAAATGGAATTTATTGTCTAATCGCAGAAGACTAGTTTCCTAGGTCTAAAGGTTTCAATTATTGTAATAAGTATTAACATCACGCCTTTTTTATCCCCGAAAGAGTAGACGGTTTACGGCACATAATGCCACTGTACAATGTTGTTACACCCTATTTTCACTATTTATGTTATGAGTCCCATGTAATAGGGGGTGAGCCTATTGCCATATACCGGGCACAATTCCAGACTCCGTGCTACTACTGAGATTTTTTTTAAACCAAGTAATACTTTCCCCGACCCGGCAATCAAACCAGAAACCCTTGCCCGGCAGTCGCACTTGCGACCACTCGGCCAAAAAGGCAGTCAATATTAAAAGAGGTGTACTAAGTATTTATTTTGATAAATAAGTCTAGCCTTGTGTGTCATCCACAAATAGCTTTAACAGTTTTATAATAACGGCAACTTGTACAAAAAATCAATACCACATTGTATGTTGTAACAAAGTATGTTTACGGTTTTTTATGCTCGAAGTTAATAACTCTTATAAGTTTTTTATTTACGTGCACACATTATACTTGAATATCTGGCGTAAAGGTCAATAACTTATTAGGCATCTTATGAATTATTCATACAGGAAAATATCGTCGTACATAAATAATATTTGTTATCACTTTTATTTTTCATCTGCATTTTTTTACATACCGATTTACAAAAAGTTAATAAGTGGGTGTTACATTGTACAGTATCATAAAGTGCGGTAATGTGCACCTCTGCATACTCCTTCAGGGATAAATGACGTGATAGTATGTTATGCTTTTCACTCTTCTATAATAATATATCCGTATAATTTTCCTAAAGTCTGGGACAGATTTTTTCTTTCTATATTTACTTACCGAACCTTGCCTACGTATGAATTCCAAATATTTATCATACGAAGATAATAATATTAATATATAAATTAGTATTTTTTAACATAATCAAGTTTTTTTTTTCAGGAAACAGGTGCCGAGCCGGAACAGGAGAAACCAGCCGCGGCAACGGAATATGGACAAAAGGAGAGGAAAGCATATGAGTCTCTGTGCCGCGGTGAAGTCGACGTGCCCCTCGAGATCTCTAAAAAGTAATTTTTTTTTTTCAATAAATAAGATCTTTTGCAAGACAAACTTCTGGAAACAAATTTTACGAATTTTTTTTAATTCTGGATACTTATTTTATACGTTGAAAAATAATATTTAGACGGGCGATTAACTACAGCTCCATCATCACACTCTTGATGCTATTTTCAAATTGGCTGCCGGTTAGTGCGCGTTCGATTCCCGCACGGAGCAGTTCTTTGTGTGATCCACAAATTGTTGTTTTGGTTCTGGGTGTCACGTGTATGTTATGATATTGTATGTTTGTAAACGCATCAACGACACAGGAGAAAATCCTAGTATGGGTAACGTGTTTTTTTTTTTAATAATAATCTGAGTATAAAAGCATCTTCTATCTATTTCTTAACAGTGACAAGGTTCACTGTGCTTATAAATAGGCAAAAGTATTTCTCGTGAACTATTATCATATCTAATAACATTCGAAACTGGATGGCCAAGTTTTAATATTATGCAAATCACGTCTTATTAGTATTTTACTGCTTTTTTAAAGAAAAAAACATATTATAGTAGTCGACTAAAGTTATAAAATTATCATAAAAAGTAATTCAATTTAATATTTATAATGATGTAACTGTTCGGCGGGTGAGTAATGCTTCCCACACGTACAGTTAGGTACAGGTTGTTTTTTATAAATTTCAACCTTAATGTTTTTATTTTATAGTCGAAAATCTATTAAATTGTGTGGTAACTTGATGTGCTATTATGTAAAACTGTTTTACTGGCTTATGGTAGCCTCATTGGCCGAATAGTCGCAAGTGGGACAGCCAGGTAAGGGATCTTGGGTTTAATTCCCCGATCGGACAAAGTATTACTAGGATTTTAAAAAACATCTCAGTAGTAGCACGGAATGTGCCCGGTATATGGCAATAGGCTCACCCCCCAATACATGGGATTCAGAACATAAATAGTGTAAAATTGGGTGTTACATTGTACAGTGGCATTAATCGCTGTAATGTACTTGTCTGCCTACCCCTTTGGGGATAAAAGGCGTGATGTTATGTTATATGAAACTGTTTTAAAAATCTTTTACTCTGTATTTGGAAATTCTTTCGTCTTATTTTAACTTGTATAGTATTATGTAATGATTCAACCAATAGTATTATATATTTTTAAACAAATATCATTGTGAGATTTCCAAGGAAAAGTTCATTTGGGATATGATAATCGTAGTTTCAGTACCGTTAATAGGGTTATGCTTAAAGTTATAAAAAATGATTGGATTCGTATAACTCATTTTTATTTCTCCTAAACAGATTAACATGCCGTTACCTGACCGAGAACCACCCGTTCCTACGTCTGGCGCCCATCAAGATGGAAATGATGTACCTGAACCCCGATATTGTGATATTCCATGATGTCATCAGCGATGGGGAGATTGAAACTGTTAAACGAATGGCTAGGCCTAGGGTGAGTACCTGTATGGATACATTTAAATGAATATTTACACTATTGATGTGTCAGTTAAAAGAGTATCGAATGGAGTTTCTTTGCTCGTTCTTCTCTATTCGAATGTACATTTTGGAATGAGCACCTCGTTCCTATTATTAATTTTGTATTTGTTGACGTTTCAAAGGTACCAAATTAGGGATTTATTAAAATAAATGCTTTTTGACTTCGACTTTGTCTTTTAAATTATAAAAATTCAAAATTCGATTGCATCTTTAAAAAAACTGTTTCTAAAAACTGCCAATACTTTGTTTCTTTTTTAATATGGGTATACCCTGGTCTTTGTCCTGAACTCCATATTAAAGATTTCTAAATTGAATTTCATTGAGAACTGATTTAGTCCGCAATTAAATTCAATTAGATCAAGTAGTTCTTTAGAAGTGTGTACCTATCATTGTACCACAATTGGGTACTTGCCAACTAGTCAAACTCAATACTTTTTTCGAACTGTCAAAAACGACAGTTTTCTGTGAATTTTGTACGAGATTGTGTATTGTGACGTCACGTTTTTTAGCGTCCTTAAAAATTTGCTGGAAAAATAGTAAAATTAAGTTATTTATAAAATCAATTAATGAAAGTGTGACTATTTTTTCATATTCTATTATATTGAACAGTCGAAATAATTCATTTTTTATTAAGGAAAGTACCCATTTATACTTTGTTGCTTGCTTTGAACATTAAGAGTAAGTCGTATTATGTAAATGCAAACAAATCGCTTTAAAAAATATGATTACCTGTCAATGTCAATTATTGCACGATTGGTGCAGTGGCTGGGCAATCGGCTTCCGCGCAACGTGTAGGTACCAGGTTCGATTCCCACACGAAGAAATTCTTTGAGTGCTCCACAAAATATGTTTCGTTTAAAAAAATGTAATAATAGACATACAATTCTGGGATGAATCTTAATCCCATTCGAATAGTTGTAAAAGAATACATATTTTTATATTACACAAATATATATTATGAATCAGTAGAATGTCATTGTCCTCAAAGCTTCCTAACCTTGACATTCATTGCGTGCAATAAAATAAAACGCTTGATTTGTTAATGCCTTTATTGTGTTCACTTCTCATCAGTTTTTATTGGCAAATGTGCAAACGTGTTTTAGTAGAATTATTTTGTACTAGCTCTTGCCTGCGACTTCGTCGCGTAGAATAATGATTTCTGGCAGAATTTTTGTTCTTGAATAAGAAAACAAAACTTAGATAAAACGAACAAAAGTTTAGAAATGGGAGCTAACTCATTTCTATGTACATAAGAGGGACGTCAGGTGATATTTAGAATAAATGTATCGTTGAAAGTATTTGTTTCCGTAAAAAAATAAAAATCCGTGTCTTATGTTTCAAAATAATCTACCAGACGGACATGAAAATAAAAATTACTCATCTACCCTTCAACTTAACATATCGCTTCTCAACAGTCATTTAACTTACTAATGTCCGAATACTCAAACGCCACTCAATTATAGTTCTGTCACTACAAATTCTTTGTAAAATGACAGAGATAGCATGATATTTAAGTACAACTTTAAATTGAGTAGTCTTTCGATATTCGGGCGTAAGTCTCTAAGGTCGTAAATAATTAACAATATTTTATCCAGTTCAAACGAGCAGTTGTCCACGATCCGAAGACTGGCGAGTTGGTACCAGCTCACTACCGTATAAGCAAGTCGGCCTGGCTACGCGACGGGGAGGCGGAGACCATCGCTCGTATTACTAGGCGAGTCTCACATATGACCGGCCTTAGCATGGACTCCGCTGAAGAACTGCAAGTCGTCAATTATGGAATCGGAGGCCATTATGAACCTCATTACGATTTTGCTAGGGTATGTGGTTTTATTCAGAATTTTTAATGAAAACTTCTTTACCTTTTCCGATATAATTATATTTTGTGACACAGTAAATGATTCAAAGAATTTACTGTATAGTTTAAATAATATTAATATGTAGTTTTTTTATTATTGTCAGTATGTTTATCACGATTGGAAATAGAAATTACTTAACGAGTACATGGTGTCGGAAATAACTGTTTCTTGTATCTACATTATTTTTTATTTTATTTTCAGAAGCGGGAAAATGCCTTCGCCAAACAAGGAGGCAACAGGATAGCTACAGTTCTCTTCTATGTTAGTATTCAAATAAAAAGCCATCATCACTTACATAAATATTTATTTACTTAAAAACATCATTACATTGTGTACAAAATAATAAGTATAAAATAATAATTGACTTTGTTACAAAATAATAAGATTGAAAATCTATAAACGATTTAACAGATTTAAATGGGTTGCCTTGATGATTTCATTTGATTATGGACTTTATGACGTATTCGATTGATGATACAGTCGACCCTCGTTAATTGGAACATGGATCCACTCTTAAAACATTTCGAATTACCAAATGTTCGCAATATCGAATGGTCCGTTGAATTTGCCTCAAAATGTCGGTACTCTGCAAGTTTGAGATCTTTCCGTCCTAATTCGAATTCTCGAGTCATTTGGTTACGTAGAATTTATATTTTCGTTCGAATTACCAAGTGTATAAAATGTTTTGATTTAGTTCGAAATATAAAAAGGTTGTCAAAGGACCTCATGATAACTTCAAACTATTGAGAGGTTCGAATTATCGAAGGTTTGAATTAACGACATTCGACTGTATTTGTTACTCCATTGTGACATATTAATTTAATAACAAGTACACAATATTTGTTCTATACAGATGTCGGACGTGGCGCAAGGCGGTGCTACTGTGTTCACGGAGCTGGGTCTGAGCGTGTTCCCAGTGAAGCGTGCCGCCGCGTTCTGGATGAACCTGCATCCCTCCGGCGAAGGAGACTTCGCCACCAGACACGCGGCCTGCCCCGTGCTGCAGGGCTCCAAGTGGGGTATGTAGGACTGTGGAAAAAGCCTTTTGAAGTAAAAATAAGCTCTAATCGTATGTCGTGGTGGCCTAGAGGTGGAAGCAAAACATCGTGGAAAAACCTGGGCTTATAATTTCTTATTATAAGTTTGAAATCGCTAACTCGCATTAAGCAAGCATGGTGACTTAAACCACGCACACGGAGAACCTTGTGAGAAGAGGCCTTTGGTCAGTAATGGGCACTTATAGGCTGATGATAAGGCTCTATTCCTAATAAAAGGTTCATCACACAATATTTTTTTATTTGAAAAGTTCAACCGTTAGTTGATGGTTTATTTTTGTTATAAACTAAATGGGTTGTGGGTAATGTACTTTCTAAAATGCTTAAAACCGCTACTTATAATTTAAGGATGGTGTATATCTATTAATAATTAAGTGACAATTATACAAGCAAAATACTAGGCTCCTTTTCGTTCCACTATCGGGCGAGTGTATTAATCTGGATGTTCTCCGTGTATACACATGTATACACGACATTTTAGATTCTGGAAAAAAATACGTTAATAATTTCTGGTACTACAAAATGACCAAACTCAAATGTTCTATATGCCATACTCACTTAACTATTCGACGAAGGCACTCGACTAGTTTCAGGGTATACCGGGGGCCCATAGTCGTATATAGCGGGCTGCATTGAATAGTGACATGAATAAAATTACTTATAAACTTCTTAAACTTCGCAGTATGCAATAAATGGCTGCACCAAGGCGGACAGGAGTTGCTGAAGCCGTGCAACTTGGAGTACCAGAAGGAGGGCATCATCCGCCAAATCCCGCGACCAGTGCCCAAGACATACAGGTAGAATTACAACTCCATATTACTGAATAAGCTGTTCAAACAGAACTGATTAGTGCAAATATAGTAATCTGATTAATGAGCAATTTGTTTATTTGATAACTGCTCAGTATACGTTCCTAACCAGTCAAAAGTTGTTCTCAAATAACAAATAGTTTTTAATCTATATTCATTAGAGATATACTGAAAATGCTTTGCCCGAGTGGCCCACTAATAGATGATAAAATAGCTGACTAATTCGATAAATCATACTAGTTGCTAACGTTAATTGCGTATGTGATCCAACGAGGATGCATTTTATTGAAACCAGTTTAAATAAAAAAAATGTAGTAAGAAGTGATTTGGCAAATCATTATTTTTTAAATTTAATAACAGAGAACTTCGTTTTTACTTTTTAGTTATCAAATGTAACACTGCTTTTTTAGCAAATCGACTTCAAGATAAGTAGTAAATAATTAAGTATTTAGTGTGTCTAATAGTGTTGTGTTAAAACAAGTTAAGTAATCTTGCCCAATGATCTAATGATAGACATCTAATATCTCAAATACATAGAGGCTTCAGTGTTGCCGTTTTCCTGTAAAATTAATGTAATTATTTATTACCTATGTAGTTATACAAATAAGGTAACATAGTTAAATAGTACATATTAATATGTATACATATTTAGATCATTTTGTTGAGTTATACTATAATATATATTTTTATTAAAAATGTTATAGGTTATACTATTATTTTAAGTACATTCATATATTAAGTTTATAAAAACCAGTCATTTTATTTAGTACAATAAGTAACAAATAATACAAATTAAGTTCAATCTCAACAAATGCATTTATACAAATATTTAAAACATATCTAATGTATGACAATATTGCTTTACTAGACAATTAATTAATAATATAGATATAATTAATGCTTAAAATTAAGTTGGCTGTAATTAAGAAATATACTTTGAATCAATTTTATGTAAACTGACATTGTTTTATATTATGTATTTGATTATACAATTTTCAATTGATGTGACTGTGGTTTTATTGAAGTTAAAATTATTATAAATATCGTACTGTATCTAAAAACGTGAAAGACTAAAGGATATTTAAACATTAATGCTATATTTTTATTTCTATAAAAATAAAGTGAATCATCAAATCAGTGAAATAATTAATCAAAACAATTATTCTCTTAGCTTAGTATAGGTTCAACACAATACTTATTATGTAAATAGTATATAATTTTAAACTTTAAAGTAACATACCCTATCTCACAATAGGATCCCATCGCCATCAGCCATCTTCAGAAATCGTTGTGAGGAGAGCAATTTAAGACAACAAAAACGTTACATATAGAATTAGACGTATACTGTACATAACATTGCTGTTGTTTATACATTACCCTAACTCTTCTGGCTTCTGGCTCTGGATACTGGTTATCTTCTGAATTGTAGCTCTCCGATGGTAGACGAAGGACGGTGACGCTAGTTAGAGTATTTCAGAACAAACAAAGTAAGTACATGCATGGTGGACTTTAGCATTGCACACTACTGTGTTTGCTATGAAACACTCTTCTTGTCTTGACAAACTTCGATCTTGGAGTTTCTTGAGGCTTGGCCATAGTTGTATGATAAAAATTGTGTACATTTACTATTATGTTTCCGGCTTACTCACGTAACTGTTTGGCGAGGAACTCGACTAATTTCAAACCATGCTAGAGGCTCATATTGATGATCGCGCTGCTACTGGCTACTCGAATATGCTGCGGTGCGGGTCTAATGCGCCCTCTGCCGTGATTCGTGAATATGAGCCTCTAGCATGACTCTAGTATGTCTCACGAAAGTTTTAATATATACAATTGTATACATTGTTAACGCTATAGTTATTCTATCTGGTTTCATAATTTCTGATTCAGTTTCTGTTAGTAAAATTAATTGACGGATAATACGACGCATTTCTCAAACAGTTCAATTACAATTTAAGTTAAGCTAACAACAACTTAATCAGACATGGTCAATCAGGTAGGTAATGTCTCATTTCCATTGCAATGATTTTAATAGCGGCAATAAATTGCCATTGACCCAAAAACATGTCGTACGTAACCACCGATTACGAACCTATCAAATATTAACAAAATCATCATGTTTCAATCATGAAACTAAACCAGGACTTAAAAATGGTTCTTACCACCTACTGATTGCAAGATTTTACCTTCCGAATTGAACTTTAATGAATCTATTCTTGATTCCTACATACGTCACATGAGTTCCAGTCTGCCCGGAGTTAACCTTCGGCGTTAGATTTCATTGTCACTGTATAATGGCTCTTTGTTTTAAGGTCAATAGTATAGTGATTGGAAAATGGGTTCTCATGTTGCTTCTGCGGATTCCACATTCACGGAAACGTTAATGTTTCCTCCTGAGCTTCCAATGCGTTGCAATTGATTGTTACTTATGGAACTCCGTTACATTGGCAGGTATTGTTGATTTATGTTCATAGAGGAAACTGTTTTGAGGCTGAAATACACCAAAAAATAATAAATGATTGGTTGTACAGAAATATTAATCTATTTAAATGACTTCTGAAACTGAGTTTTAGAAAACCGCTAACCATATTTAATTTTTCTTCAACAAAATCTTTCTATAGGAATCCCATGTATACAGATTCAAAATCTAGTATGTATAATACTAGTTCAATATACTTACATAGTTTTATAGAAGAATCAAAGTTATGATACGACTATATTCCGATCCAATGATGATGATTGAAAACAACAAGCAAAAGCAAAAACAAACACTAGTCATGACTCTACTTACACACATTATAAATAATCTAAAGTGATACCCACGATGTCACACTTACCCCCGAATACTGAAAGACTACTCAATTTAAAATTATACTTAAATATCGTGCCATTTCTGAAATTTTACAAAGAATTTGTAGTGACAGAACTATAAATGTGACTTCAAATTGAGTACCCTTTCAGTATTTGGTCGTAAGACTTGACTATACATAATATTATCGCAATGTGCTCTACTGATTCTAGTAAATGTAAGCAAAGCTTCAATTCAATATTAAACCCTATCTACAGTTGATTTCATTGACTAACTCCAAATGGGGGGTACTAAATCCCAAGCCTACCGAAGGTGCTATTCAGAATACACAATGCCTTTTATGATTGCTCTATGCCTTCATTGATGATCATACTTGATCAATTCTAACTACTTATCTTTCTCAACTATGGGTATTATCAAACAGCTGACTCTAAGTAACTGTTTCAAGTTTCATCGTAAGTTCCTAACTTCGACTCGGGATTGGGATGAAATTCTGTTACTATAATGACCGAACTATCACTACAAATTCAAACCGTAAAACATAACTATTGAAATATGTTCTTCCACACCATATCTTGATGATTATAGTGAATGCCATTAAAATCTAAACTTACCTGTTCAGGCACCAGTGTCAATTACATATTTCAGTTACCTACCAATTATTTGCCAATAGAATTGACTCTTTTATATCCCATCTTGTAAAAGATACCCATCTTCTTTAAACCTATACTATTCATGATTAACTGTTTGAAATCCATAAAGCATTGCGATAAAAATCACGAACACTGTATGGAAAACACCTAGACCACATAAAATATCACTCACCCTCACCGAAGTCTATACATTAATTGCATAGTAATCCTTCTTCACTGATTACTAAAGGTAAATTAAAACTTTCAACAATATTTATTGGAAGATAATTCTTGAAGAATATTTTGAGCTGTTTTATTGATCGAATTGATCAATTAATATGAGGATACTTGACACTACACTTTCGAATCAGCCAAGTGCTGGCAACAAACTGATGGCTAGTGGAGTCGGTCGTCGATGGCTAACGATGAAACCGGAGCCGTGGACTGTAAACATCCAGTGACTGGAATCCTCGTAGGCTGTCGACGCGTCGCGCCGCCGACGCTCGCGCGCTATCCTCCATAACATTACTGATATGGCACATTAAGATAACTGCCTGGCCACCGGGAAGATCTGCACTTGATAGGCTCATGGCCTATGAATTTGTATTACATATTTTCTTTAATATTGTTGCTACCTTAACAACAACTACTGAGAACGTAGTGTCGTCTTTCAATTAGATACAAAAAATATATATAGACCTAAGCACATCTTTTGAAGGTACGGAAAGATGATGCTCAATGTCCAAAATCTCTTCTGCGCTGTGTTATGGTTGTAAGTTTGTATGAAAAATTAAAAGGAAGACAATATTTTGAATATTCCGATTATTGACACTGATTTAGAAGTAATAAGATTTGAGGAACATCCTCAGAACCAAAAAGTCTTGATATAATATCCTACACGACCATGTTCAGTCTGATCCATACTTTCCGCGATACTCTGTAGCAAAATTAATGATGTTTTACGGCTTACTCACGTAATTATTTGACGAAGAATAGACGACTAGATTCAGTAGCAGACAGTCGCCGCGGTGCGGGTGGCGGAATGCTGCTCATGAATATGAGCCTCTAGCATGGCTTGAAACTAGTCGAGTTCCTCAACAAATAATTACGCGAGAAAGTCGAAAAACATAATAATTCATTTAGTGTGTCTCACAAAAGTTATAATATGTCCTGTAACATTTACCTCATTATAATAAAAAATGAAATGACTTTGAAAATAAAATAATTTGATATCTTATGCAGGTGATTTGTTATTACAGTACAATCTCGTATGGAGTAATTATCTTAGTTTATTAGTTTGTTTACCTACTAGTTCTAATTATACACAATAATAATGATCCCAAATTAATAGAAATATAGTTTTTTTGGCTTGAACATAAAAATTTACTATGACTCTTATTGTGACATTTTGTAAAAAATATCTACATTTCCTAAGCTCTCGTATGAGTAGTAGTAGTACAGTAGGCTGTACTACACGCTGCGACCGCGCGCGCTGCTCATGAGGAAGAGCCCCTCTGTGGCTCGAAACTAATAGAGCTCTTCTCAGTATAT